ACATGTGTGTCCCCCCGCACACACATGTGTGTTCCCCCGCACACACATGTGTGTTCCCCCGCACACACATGTATACCAGTAGACTAGTCGAAACTTTTGAGCGAGACGTTTTGACCGTCCTGAAGCTGGGGCTACGGGGGGGGGGGGGGGGGGCGGCCACGAAATTGGTTCGGTGCAAAAGTTGCAGATACCAGTAGTATCATTGTGACTTTCGAGTCGCATAAACAAGTTCTCGCGAAAACGTATGTACGTGGTGTCAACAGCAAACGCGAAGACAAGGCTGACCGGGATCACGTATATGTTCGTACTGATAGCAGGCGCTGAGACGAGTAGACGAGTCCAACCTTGTGAGCGAGACGTCTTGACCGTCCTGAGGCTGGGGCTACGGGGGGTGGGGGGGGGGGGGGGGGCGGTCACGAAACTGCTTCAGTGCAAACGTTGCAGACACCAGTGGCATCATTGTGACTTTCAAGTCGCAAAAACAAGTTGACGCAAAAACGTGTGTACGTGGTGTCAACAGCAAACGTGAAGACAAGGTTTCACTAAATTTGGCACAAAGCCTGGCGGGAGAGAACCAAAGGGAGGGGGGGGGGGGCGGCCGCGAAATTGGTGGCGTGCAACAGTGATAGCTACTTGCACCGTCATCGCGAAGTTGATGCACGATGGCCGGGATCACGTGAGCAGGTATATGTTCGTACCGACAGCAGGCGCTGAGACGATTTAGAATTGGTGGCGTGCAACAGTGGTAGCTACCAGGATCGTCATCGCGAAGGTGACGTAGGATGCCCGGGATCACGTGAGCAGGTATATGTTCGTACCAATAGCAGGTACTGAGACAAGCGGACTAGTCGAAACTCTTGAGCGAGGCGTTTTGCACGTCCTGAGGCTGGGGCTACGGGAGGGGGGGGGGGGGGCGGCCACGAAATTGGTTCAGTGCAAAAGTTGCAGATACCAGTAGCATCATTGTGACTTTCGAGTCGCATAAACAAGTTCTCGCGAAAACGTATGTACGTGGTGTCAACAGCAAACGCGAAGAAAGGGTTCTTACCAAATTTGGCACAAAGCTTGGCGGGAGAGACAGAAAGGGAGAGGGGGGGGTGGCGGCCGCGAAATTGGTGGCGTGCAAGAGTGGAGGATCGTCATCGCGAAGTTGATGTGGGATGCCCGGGATCATGTGAGCAGGTATATGTTCGTACTGACAGCAGGCGCTGAGACGAGTCTAGCTCGGCTGATGCAAATTCCGCACGAATGTGATGTAGGTTGACCGGGATCACGTGAGCAGGTATATGTTCGTGCTGACAGCAAGCGTTGAGACGAGTAGACGAGTCGAAACTTTTGAGCCAGACGTTTTGACCGTCCCGAGGCTGGGGCTATACGGGGGGGGGGGCGGCCACCCACATGTGTGCGAGGGAAATGGACATGTGCATGTGCGGGACACACATGTGCGCGCAGGTTTGGGCGAATTGAACGCTTGAAGCAGGGCTTGAGGGAATTGAATCTTATGCATGAGGCGGGATAAACTGAAAGCTTGAGAAGCCCGAAGCGGCAGCAAAAGTCGGATTTCGTCGTATGACGGTTTCCTGTCTTCTCAGTAAATTGAGGTGGTCGACCCCCGCGAGGGTTTAGGTAAATTGAGGTGGTAAAACCCTCGTGGGGGTCAACCAACCAAATCTTGATTAGTATTGGCATTAGTATACATGGTGCAATTTACTTAAACTCGATTGCATTTTGGTGGTGGTGGTGGCGGAATAATCAATTCAATTTACTTAAACTCGATTGCAATAACTTATGCCAACGGCTATGCATACACAAGGATATGACTTCAAGTGTATTTGCTTCAACTCGAAAAAAATGTAATGGAATACCACGCACTGTGTAAAAACCTAAAGCTCCGACCCTAAGGGGTTTCAGTGGATCTAAGGCCTGAGACCCAGGCGGGATACAGGTGGAGTCCAGACGCGAGTCCTGAACGTTTAGTGAATTGAAGGAGTGAGCTTCAAGCGAGGTTTAAGTGACTGAAGGGAGGTTCCCGGTTATGGAAGCCAAGCCCAAGGCGAGGTTTAAGTCAATTGAAGGCCGATGCAACCACACAGCAAGTCCAAGCCACTGCTAGGCCGACTTCTTTCGTCTTAGGACACGAAAACAGCAATAGGCATGACGGAATAAAAAGACAACAAAGATCAGAGATTTGCACATGTGCAACAGTCCTTTGCTCATCTTCAGAACCTGACCAAGAAGGACCAAGTAGCACCACGGACATTTACAAGCGCACCAAGGTTTTGCTCACGGGGTCGAGTGTGATGGTCTAATACACCTATTTATGTCCTCCGGCAGCTGTTTCTCTCGGTGCCGCGTCCTCGCTTTTCCGGCTTTTCTTTGTCGTGCTGTCCCCGGAAGTTGATTCTACTGGATTCATACGCGTGCCTCCATCGCTCTAGGTCGACATGGCTGGACTTCCCGGCCGCGTTCTCGGAGGTCGATTTGTTCGTCCACTTATTTTCCCGCCGTCGTGTGAGGTTCCACCTATGCTTCGATGCCTACGATCCACATTGAGGCAGAGGACGGGCCACAGTTTCGGTTCCTGCCTCGGCCTAGTGTTGCTCGCGATTCCATGCTTCGTCAGGGCTTTTTTGGGTTTGCGATTTAGGTATCCGAGCTGGTGGAGTGATAGCCACACGGCCAAGGTTTGGGGAGACATTGCAAAGGACTCGTGAATCATTGCGTGGACAGGTCTTTGACCTGGAGCGGGCCTTGCTGGCAGAGGTCAACGCAGGTCGGACTCTTTATGATAGCTGTTACTTGGTCTTGGACCTTGATACGTCATTAGGCGACTTCGTGTACGATGTGTACAAGAAGGCGGAGTAGAAGTGAAACTGTACTATATAAGTTTGACTTGTCCGAGGTTGTAGACTGGCCAACAACTTCAACAGACCCGTTCGTTCACGCCATCCAGATGGTGATCGAGCACCGTTTGAGGCAGGATGCTTACATTTCTGTTTTCTGTCGTCTGCCGCTAGTGTCATCGGCAGGGTGCTTGAATGGTACGCCAACGAGATTGAGCTGGACGTGCGAGGGCCCTACCATTGGACCGTTGGTGGGTCATGCTTGTTTGGTGAGGCGTCTGATGACGAAGCACGGAGCCGGAGATCTGCTACTCCAGTGGATGTTCAAGCCCACATCGAAACGTCCGATGCTTGGAATTTAACTTGAAAGGGCATGCGATGCGGAAGCTTGAACCATCAGGACTGCGGCTGGCGTGAGTGGAAGTCGAAGCCGCGTCTTCCGTGCCCAAAAAAACGGCCGAGCACAGACACGGAAATACGCATATTTGCACATCTAGACTCTTCTGGTACTATTCGTATTTTTGCGTATATAAATGTAACAAAAAAGAGAGGGAGAGAGAGCGAGAGAGAGAGAGAGAGAGAGAGAGGGAGGGAGAAAAGAGATCGGTAACGTCATCGTGAGGTTGATACTGGATCAAAGAATGACGTGAAAACGATTGTAAATTGAACGCTTGAGATCCACGCGGTTTCTTCTGCATTTATCCTGTTTGCCGCCTGTACAGTAGCTTTGTTCACGCTTGTTGTGATTCATGCTTTGCTGTCGCAAGCATTCGCCTCTCTGCTGAGGACTCTTGCTCAAACAAGAGGGTAGTCCAGGTAGCCACCATCTGGAGTCGCTTGGGTATTGGTGCCCGGTCCCTCAGTTTGGCCGGTCGCTCGGTGTGTGTGTGTGTGTGTGTTTGTGCATCCTGCATCCAGGGCATGAGCCGGTATCCTTGCCCCTGACCCTCCGTTGTGCAGCACTGCTTCGGCTCATTTTGACGTGTGTTAACACGTGATGAAACATGCAGCAACGCCTCGAGTTTTCCTCGCATGTCTTCATGTAGCCTTTGAAGAACGGTTGCTAGTTGGTGTGCTGCGCTCCCTTGTTAGATGATCGGGGCCTCGCTGTTGCCTTGGCGGCACTTTCCCTGGCAGTCAGGAATGACATCGTGACCTGGGCTGGCGAGCCTCTTCAGGGATGAAGGTACAGCCCCCAGCATCCCAAATGGACATAGCAACAGCAGTCCCGGTTCAAGCCAGGTGAGTGCAGAGCATCGTCGTCTGGCGGCCCAGCAAGTGGACCACTAAGTTGAGGATATTTCGTTGTCATGCGGTTCGTAGCTCTGGCCGTCGTTGCTCCAACCATTCAGTATCCCGCAGGACCCCTCATCGTCGGCTGTGGTGGCATCTGTGCCGGAGGCGCCTCAGGAGACTACTATTTCTTGTTGCTCGTTGGATCAACCGAACCACGGAGGGATCCTCCATCGCGAGATTCCGCATCGCCGAGGTCAGCAGCTTTGCCATTGCAGGAGTGTTTTGTTTCTTTGCTTCAGCATTCGGCGAGTCGGCGATGGGCCAGGACGTCCCCCCATCGGGAGCTGCATCATCGCCGTGATCAGCAGCTTCGCCATTGCAGGAGAGTTTTGTTTCTTTGCTTCGGCATTCGGTGAGTCGTCGATGTGCCAGTATATCGCTTCGTCCGAGAGCCAGGCTTGGGTCGCAATCGCGGGGTATGGGTTGCTTGTGGTTTCCTTGACGGAGGCTATGCTGGCTGACTCGGCCGGGAAGTAAAGTGAGGCGGGGTTCCATCGCCAATCCCTGGTTCGATCCTGTGCTTTGACATATGGTGGATTCGGGACCTGCTGGCAGGAGGCGTCGGAGGATGTGGTCCCAGAGGCACATCGGTGTCTCATCCAGTGAATTATTCCGATGCTCCTTTCCTGTGGCAGGCTGCTACGGCTTCGGAATATCGCGATCAACCATCCGAGGCGGGATGTTGTGGGTTGCTTGGCGCTTCGTCTTTGGTTGCTGGGTACTGGTGTGGTGTAGGGTTTCGGGAGCCTTGCTTTACAGTCCATACCTCGGATGAGTGCGTAATGCTTTCTTAACACTTGAACAAAGTTCTGGCGAAATGAGTTTGATGCTAGGTTTCGACGACCACAGCCTCTATTGTAGGACTCGCCTGGACATGCAGTCTGCTTCACCTGTGTAACGATGAGGAAGGCGTCGAGATCCCCGTGTCCTTTAAGCGGAATAGCCTTGTTGTGGATGCGCAGGTGTTTGCAATGCAAGAGCAAGGGATTCAGGAGTATGAGGCCAAGGTCCAGGCCGTATATCGGCCGCGCATCGTTGTTCAGATAACCTTCAACATCCACTCCCAGGGCCCCGAGTGGAGCTTGCTTGAGTGCGGTGATCCATGCCTCTTGACCAGGGGCAAGGCTCGGCATGATCCGTCAGATGTGGTAGGAGTTCGGTTGTGGAAGTATAGGACCACTTTGGCATTCAGGCACCGTGATTGGGAGTTGATTGACTACGAGGAGCTGTCTCGGACTTGATAAACCTAGCTGAGCCGATTGTTCCGGCCACTGATGTAGACATTCCCATCTTCACTGTGATGCACCGCAACAAGGGCAACGAGCCAGATCGTTACGGCGTGGAGTTCATAGAGGCCAGTCTTCAGCAGAGTTCAGGCAGTGCGGATCCCGTGGCGAGTGCATTCTTTGGCCCTGACCCTGTGAGCGAAGATGAGGTGATTGATCTACCAGATGGAATTGATCTAGGTGCTGGTGTCGAGCTGCCAGGTGTGGATGTGTTTGATGCTGATGGCGGCGATGCGGTCCCAGCTCCAGGACCTGTGATGCTGGCAGGAAATTCGGATGAGCACGTAGATGTGGAGGGGATCAGGCTTGGTCCAGATTCAAGTGCTCGAGAGCTTCGTGCAGGGTGTCAGCGACTTTGTCTTGGCATGTCAGGTTCGAAGAACATCCTCTACAGGAGATTGGTTGCGCACTCAAAGAAGAGAGCTCTTGAGGATTCCTCGGCATTGGAGAACGCAGCTAGACCACATGTTCATCAACCCAGGGGAGAGCCAGTGGCTGAACAGCCAACAGATGAGCAACGAGCTGAGCATGAACTCACCCACGTGCCTTTCAATAAATGGTGTAGCTACTGTGTAAGTTGTAGGTCGCGAAGGGATGCCCATCGACAAGAAGATGAGCGACATGACACTGAAGGTGGAGACCCTATCATTGCGTTTGATTTTTTTTTATGTCGATGTTGGCGGTGAGGATCTTGAGTTTATGACCAAGAAGCCGGCTGACAAGGACCTCCTCACGATTCTCGTTGTTGTGGACAAAAGTACCGGCATGTGCAGGGCCATTCCGCTGCCATCGAAGGGCGATGGGTCGCTCGTGCACGGCGCCAAGGAAATGCTAGGCTTCATATCGTACCTTGGGTATCAAGGGGTTGGCATCAGAGGTGATAACGAGCCTTCCGCCGTGTCCCTTTCGAAGCTGGTGTGCTAGGCTCGGACAAAGTTGGGTTTGCGCACAGTTGACAAACCATCCCAACCGTATGAACATATCACAAACGAAGCAGCCGAGCAAGCGGTGCAAGGAATCAGGGATTTGGGGACAACGCTCCTGGCACAATTGAAATCCAAGTCAGGGGCTGAGCTTCGAAATGATGATGACCTGGTGGGATGGGCGTTCGTGAACGCCTCGATGTTGCACAACGTCTTTGCTGTTCATGCTGGTACCGCACCATACGAGCAAGCTCCCAACATGGCCTATCGGGGAAATTTTGCATGCTTCGGTGAGGTAGTCTTATTTACCTTGAATCAGAAACCCGTCAGAAAGGGGAAGCCGAAGTTTGTGAAAGGCGTGTGGTGGGGGAAGACGCTGAATAACGATCTGAATGTGTGTGGGACAGCGCTGGGCATCTACATGTCAGGAACAATCCGGAGGATGGCTCCAGATCAGCGGTGGAGCAAGCACATGATCAAGGAGTTCAGCGGTAAGACGTATAGATTCTCGCCGAGTACCTTTGGCAAAGTCATGATTCCGGGCATCAAGGAGATGCGGAAGCCGGAAGCGATTCAGGTGATGTCTGCGCCTTACCCGTTGCCAGCTCCTGACAAGAAGGCGGAACCACCAGGAGATGAAGCAGGTTCGGATTCGGTGTTGTCCCCTAGTTCTTCCCAGCAAGCTGATTCCTCGAACAGGTCAAGCCTTTTGTCGGATCCTGTTCGAACAGATAAGGAGTCGAGCTCAGGAGGGGCCACGTCTCGATCAGGATGTAGCTCCGGGTCTGCATCTGCAGGCGTGAATGGTGCTGAAGGTGATGGAGATCAGCGTAGTGCGACGGAGCTTGAGGCCAACCGCGGTGAGAAGCGTGAAGCCGCACCATTGCCGGATGCAGGTGGAAAGAGTTCGAAGAGTCCAGCAGTGATGGTGGAAGGAGAAGAATTGTACGTGCTAGACGAACCTCTAGATCGTGATTTTCCCGTCGACGAGGAGATGAACTCCTACTCTGAAGACGACGACGTCGAGGACTATGGAGAATCGTGGCACGGAGAGGTGAGAGTGAGGGTCCACCGAGCCTGAATGCAGAGGAGCTTGAGAAGGTAGATGAAGACTCTCAGGCATATGAGGTCAAGAGATTGGTCGAAATGGGGGTGTTGGAACAAGTTGAGGCTTTGCCCCAGGAGCGGAGTTGTTGAAGACAAAACATGTCATTGATTGACGCTTTCGCGAAGGTCAGTGGCAAAGAAGGGCACGGCTGGTATGTAAACAACTGAAGATCTGGGGTCCAAACAGGAGTGTTGTGTACACGACCAATACCAGCCCTTCATCGTCAAAGGTGCTGCAAGCGTTGATGGTGTCCTGGAGCTCGTGGAAGCTTCAAGCGTTCGACGTGAAGGACGCATTTCCCACAGTCAAGCAGCGCAGTGAGCTGTATGTTCTTCTGGACGGAGTTCCATTCAGGGTGCTTCGGTGTTTGCCAGGACAGCAAGCGGCCTCAGCATGGTGGTCAGAGCAGTTGACCGAGGATTTGGAGGAGGCCGGTTTGGTCCCAGATGCGGCTTGCTCATCTGCGTTTGGGACCAAATGACTTGGTGTGATGATGCACGTGGATGACGGACTCAATGCAGGAGGAGATTGGATCCTGGAGAAGGTCCGGGCCCTTCTTATGAAGAAGTACAAGCTTGAGGTCTCGGATGTGGCGTTGATGTAGGTGAGTCGGTTAAGTTCTTGAAGAAGGAGTTTGTGATAACTGACTTGGGTGTTGAGATCAGGGTGAGTGGCCGGTACTTGGAGAAGATTTTCGGCATTCTTGACATCAAGAGGCCTAGAGCTAGGAAAACCCCGTGTTCAATGGAGATCACCCAGCTTGACTACTCGGAGGACTGTGATGGTGAAATGGCGGCGAAGTATGGTGGGGCCATAGGCGGTTTCCTTTATTCTTCACCGGATCGTCCCGATTGTCAGTGGACCATCGCGCACCTCGCGAGGGCGATGAGTCGTCCTACGGTGAAGATGTTCAAGCATGCAATCCACTTAGCAGAGTACATGATGAGCACGAAGGATGCATGCCAGCTTTTCCGTTGGACGTATCCCAGAAGGTCATGCCTATATGATCGAGTTCTTTCGCGAAGCGAGGCCAGGGCTCTTCGGGAGCGACTCCGGTGTCTTGCAAAAGAGATGCTGGTTCGCGGATGCCTGTGATAATGTTTTTGTCTTGGCAAGTGCCTGCCCTGCCCCGCCTCTGCTGTCCTGAACCGGAAACTTGTTAGATTCAGCTTTTTTTTTGCGCAAGGGGCGATGGTTCGCCGATGCCTGTGGTAAGGTTTTTGTCTGCTACGGCAGGAGCAAGCATGCTAGTTAAACACGCTGGTTGCCATTTGCCAAGGCACAAAAAACAAGGATGCTAGTTGCACACGCTGTTTTTTTATGCCGAGGCCAAAGCAGGGATGCTAGTTGAACACGCTGGTTTCCTCCTGCTTAAAAAAAAACAGGGATGCTGGTTGCGCAAGCTGGTTTCCTTTTGCCGAGGCAATGCTTGAAACAGCTGAGGCTGCGGTCGCGCCCTCGCTTTACGATAGCAACCACAGCCGTCAAGTTTGTGTGCGATGACCGTTCAGCCGCATGAACTTGCCGAAAGCCTCTTCGCTGAATCGGGTTCTTCTTGTACGCTTCCAGTCCACTATGACCTTGCTGCCGTCTGTTCGTTCCGCCACGAAATCGATGCTGCCTGCGACGTCAACACACATGTGTGTGTCGGGGAACACGCATGTGTGTGCGGGGGAACACACATGTGTGTGCGGTGGAACACGCATGTGTATGCGGGGAAACACACATGTGTGTGTGGGGGGACACACATGTGTATGCGGGGGAACATACATGTGTGTGCGTGGGAACACACATGTGTATGCGGGGAAACACACATGTGTATGCGGGGGAACACACATGTGTATGCGGGGAAACACGCACATGTGTGTGTGGGGGAACACACATGTGTATGCGGGGGAACACACATGTGTGTGCGTGGGAACATACATGCGTGTGCGGGGGGAGTCACATGTGTATGCGGGGGAACACACATGTGTGTGCGGGGGAACATACATGTGTGTGCCGGGAAACACACATGCGTGTGCGGGGGAACATACATGTGTGTGCAGGGGAACACACATGTGTATGCGGGGGAACACACATGTGTGTGGGGGGGGGGACACACATGTGTATGCGGGGGAACATACATGTGTGTGTGGGGGAACACACATGTGTTTGCTATCGCAAAGCGATGGCGTGACCGCAGCCTCAGCTGCTTGCTGCTTCAAGATCCACGGTCGAAGGTGTGCTTGCCAGTGTGCCACAGCCACTTCATTGGCTTGAGATCGTTGTTGGTTAGTTGCTCAATGCGCTGCCTCCACGTCTCGGTTTTCGCTTTGGTCACCCTCCTATCCCGGACTTTCGATGGACCCGGTACGATGTGGAAACATTGAAAGACATGAAATCGAATTCGATGGCTGTGGTTGCTATCGTAAGGTTGGCGTGACCGCAGCCTAACTAGTTTGGGCAGTCCTGCTTTCTTATTCCTCGACAAACAAAGCTTGCCGAAGAGTGGCAACCAAACTTGACAGCTGTGGTTGGTATCGCAAGGCGATGGCGTGACCGCTGCCTGAACTGTTCGCGTCGGGTTGAGAGCCGTCGGCGTCGTATCTAGCCGCAGATTCGTCAATGTGTGGCTTCAGCAGGTTTACTTAGAATTTCGGTGAGTTGGCAACTCGGGGAACACACATGTGCGAGTCTGTGTAGGGGAGAACACACATGTGGGTGTGCGGGGGAACACACATGTGCGTGCGGGGGAACACACATGTGTTTGCGGGGGAACACACATGTGTATGCGGGGGAACACATGTGTGTGTGTGGGGGAACACACATGTGTATGCGGGGGAACACACATGTGTGTGCGGGGGAACATGCATGTGTGTGCGGGGGAAGGCACATGTGTATGCGGGAGAACACACATGTGTGTGCGGGGGAACACACCTGTGTGTGCGGGGGAACACGCATGTGTGTGTGCGGGGAAACATACATGTGTGTGCGGGGGAACACACATGTGTATGCGGGGGAACACACATGTGTGTGGGGGGACACACATGTGTATGCGGGGGAACATACATGTGTGTGTGGGGGAACACACATGTGTGTGCGGGGGGACACACATGTGTTTGCGGGGGAACACACATGTGGGTGTGCGGGGGAACACACATGTGGGTGTGCGGGGGAACACACCTGTGCGTGCGGGGGAACACACATGTGTGTGCAGGGGAACATACACGTGTGTGCGGGGGAACACACATGTGTATGCGGGGGAACGCACATGTGTGTGCGGGGGAACACACATGTGTCTGCGGGGGAACACACATGTGTGTGCGGGGGAACACACATGTGTATGCGGGGGAACACACATCTGTGTGCGGGGGAACACACATGTGCATGTGGGGGAACACACATGTGTGTGTGGGGGAACACACATGTGTATGCGGTGGAACACACATGTGTGTGCGGGGGAACATACATGTGTATGCGGGGGAACACACATATGTGTGCGGGGGAACATAAAGCCAAAAAGCCAAATAGCAGAAGAAAAAAAAGTGGAGGTTTGGAAGGGGTTTGGAAAAAGCTAAATATAGAGTAGTACACAAATCCAGGAACACTACTCTCGCTGCATGCGAAGATGCGGGCCTGTCCGGCGCTCCATGTCTGCCTGCACCGAGAGACATTGACGAGACACTGACGGCACGTGATCGCTTCGACCACAAGCTCGCTTTTTGCTGCACGTTCCTGCCGATAGCTTGCTCAGCGTTGGAACAGAGCTTCGGTTTCTGTCTTCATTCGTGGTACTTCGTCGACGTATGGCTGGTCGCCATTGTCGGGGTTGGTGCCTACTATGTACATGGATGAAACGACTTGGCCGTAATATTTTTCTAGAATGAACCTGTATGCGTTCAGCTGAAGGCGGTAATGCCAGAGAGTGCAGTCGGGTACGCGGCACAGCGGGCTCCGCATGAACTTTCCGAAAGCCTGGTCGGTCAGTCGTGTTCTCCGTGTGCGCTTCCAGTCCACTAGGACCTTGCTGCCGTCTGCTTGTTCTGCCACATAGTCGATGCTGCCAGCGACATCTTCATCTTCCGCGTATACCCGCCATTCTGTGCGAAAGGCGGTCATACCCGGTTGGGAGCGGAGGAATTGTGCCAGCAGGGCCACCTCGTCCGTCCGACTGGGAAGCGATCCGCCGTTCAGTAGGTGTTCGAACTGCGCGTGCATCCACGTGCCTTCTTTTGCTCCGTCGTCTCGAGCTCTGGCCCATTTCTCCCGAATCTCGGTGGCCGAAAGGCCCAGCTCTGCCACGAGCTTTGTGATGGCATCGTCCTTCTGCGCCTGCGCTCGCAGCTGGTGGGCGAGTTTGCAGATTTGAAGCTCGTCTCGCTCGTCTCGTTGGAATTCTCGTTGGAGTTGCTCCGTGTCTCTCAGCTGTGCCAGTTCGGTTTTCTGGTGCTCGGAGAGAGTCGATTTGAGATAGCCTGGGCGTGGCCAGTTCGTGCTTCTCCTCATGGAGCTGATCACTTCATCTTCGGAGAATTCGTTCGTGAACTCATGCACCAGTTGCGTCACCGATCTCGCTACACGTCTTCCTCTCCAAAAGTAAGCATGTTCTTTTGCTTCGAATGTGATGTGCTCGTCTCGCGGGTGACTGTTGGCATGCTGTAGGCTATCTGCCAGGACGCTCTCCGGAGGATCGATGGGCAACTCCGCTGGGCGGCATGGAAAGCAAAGCGGGTTGTCTCTGTGTGCCAGCTGTCGTGGTAGTACGTCTGGAAGTCCGAGCGACGCCAGGGTCACCGGCCGTGGCGTCTCTGAGTTCGGTCCCTTTTCGGTACAGTCAACGAGCTTTCGGCGCTTCGTTGATGAGGCCATGTCGGATACGTTGCCGATTGCACTACGCGGGGGCGTGTAGTGCCTTTAGTATGACTGCTTTACCTTCCCTGCCGGGCTGGTGTAGGAACAAGAACCAGGCTTGTCAAGCGGGTCCAGATGTCTGACTCGTATACCACGCTATGATGCGACCTTTGCTTGAACCGTGCAGACGGCTGTAAAGACGTACGTCAGCCTTACTTTGTTTTGACTCTTTGGAATTCTATGAGTGTTTCTTGCATCTATGCATGACGGCCTCGTTTCTCCTTGGTGGTGTTGGCCGTCATGGACTTTCGCCTGAGAGACTGGGATTGGGCTGGCGGTCCGTATGCCTGGGCTTGTTGCTGCAAGACCCATGATCCCAGCGCCTGTGCCAAGGCTGGTCGCGGAGTTTGCTGCTAACACTGGCGAGTCTCGGGCCCGAGCTTTGTGCCGTCGAGGTACTCGGCATTGCCTGCGAAACGGTGTCGAGAGTCCATCGCCTAACCTACATATCCAGGATCATTATTGCAGAACTGAGTGAGGACACTTTTTTTTGTGCGAATCCCGGCTGTTTCTCGTCATTGACGGCTTGCTACTCTCTGTCTGCTCGGGCAACGGCTCATCAGATGTCTGTGCATGCAGTTGCGCATGATTGGAGTGTCGTTCGCTCTTACATGTTGCTGGGATGTAATCATGCCGAAGCCGTCGCCCGAGCTTCTTGTGCTGTTTCGCACCGGGCTCGTTGTTCTGGTTTCCGAGCACAGTACCCGGCGCATTCTGTACATGTTGGTGGGTTTCTACTCGCGGGCACGAGCCTCGTGATCGACTCGGAATGGATCGCGGTGAGTGAGCGAGGGAATAGCCGGCTCAAGGCTGCGCCTCAGCTGTTGCCGCTGCAGAAAGGTCGGCAGTCGTTGACGTACGTCCATGGAGAGTCGTCCGTGCTGGTCTCTGCCCTGAGGATCGGCGCCGGCCGCCAACAGCAGCTTGACCCATGCGATACTGCCTCTATTTGCGGCCTGGTGCAGTAGACACTTGTCGGTTGTGTACGGCTGCACCCGTGCCTTCGCACGTACGAGACACGTGGCTGCCCGGAGCGCCTCGTGTTCGAAGGCTCGTTCGACGGGCCCGCGCTGCTGAGCATCTTGTTGATTGATGTCTGCATGGCTCCGTGCGAGGAGGCGGATCAGTGGCGCCGAGTTCGCTGACGTAGCGATGAATAGAGGGGTTTCTCTGAACGGGGTGGCCCGGTTGACATCCGCGCC